TTACAGCCAAGCTGATGCCACAATATTCAATTTCAAAGTAAAATCTGCAAGGATATAAAACCAGGCAGCCTTGTAAAATTTGAGCATCTTGTACCAAGACTGCACCTTGCAAAACATTTAGTTTGTCCATGACAGTTTGTGGTTTTGGTAACATTTTACTTGAACCCTGCCACACTGCAAAAAAATGTATCTTGATAAGTGAAAATATCTTAAATCTAATATATATTTAACCTAATATTCTTCATGTTGAGGTTGTTGTGAACTTATTGTAGGATTTACTCATTTAACTTCTTTCTAGACATTTTTAATTTAAGTATTATTATCAGATAAAATTTTCTTACTTTATTGGCAAATAATTTTGCTATATTTTGCTTAATAATTTTAAGAAATCGGCCAATGTGAAAAGTATGAGATAATTTTACTTGACAAAATACCATTTTTGCAGTGTAACATTGACAAAGCCAAGCTATTAACATGTCACAGCAGGTGTTTATTAATATAAGAGGGTTATTTACCATTAAGACTACGTTCACATAACCAGGTCGGCATGCCGCAAATCCATTTTCTTTTGCCTTAATGAGACACAAATCAGATTTTTTCAGGGCTATGTGGACACACAAATCTGGACTTTCCAAATGAAATCTAAGCCGCTTAGGCTAGGTTCACACAGCAGGTAAAAGGCCCAAATCTAATTTTCTCCAATTAATCAGATTTTTTTGTTTGGCTATTCACAACATCTTTTAAATGTGGCCTATATGTGACATTAGTCTGAACAGATCAGCTCCTAAACTGACCAGCATGTGCAAAAGAACAGCACTTCACGTTGTTTCACATTACTCATCCAGAGGTAAACAATCACGACTGCTAACGAACACCAGTCCCAGAGGGTTCAGCTTCATTTTCACCAGCATCACAGGAACCATCATGAAACTTCACTGACTGACAGCTGGGCTCATCACCCAGAATGTGTTCGAGCTCGCCGTAAAAGGGCATGGTCACTTCTTTGGTTCGTGTCCCCCGATTCTTTTAACTTGGCTTTCAGACTTTTCTTCGACACAGCAGCCTCATTCTCCTATACGGCCGCATTCTGCCATTTCTATCGAAATCTCTTTGAACACAGGGCAGTTATGATAAGTTAGATACATAAAAGTCGCATGAATTCTGATCTGGCTGTTCAGACTGAGTTGCATTGCCGCATATCAGATACATATCGAATTTCAGCGCCACATATGAAAGCATATCAAATCGGAATTGAAATTCTCAGGTTTAATGTGTTTTTTGCTGTTCATGTTGCCACACAGACAACACATCTGTGTCACATACAAAGAAACAGATTGGATTTGGACCACTTTTACCTGCTGTGTAAACAAAGCCTTTAATATATGGTCCCACATCAGATGCATATCCATATCCATGGGACCTTAATGAGAAAGCTCAAACAGCACATGCACCATCATTCAGTGTGACATGGCGCTACAGCGCCTAACCTGAAGTTAGTGTCAGTAAATGGTGCAAAAGCAAAGCAGGCCTTTTCCTTGCTCTTTTTTCTTGCCCTAATAATATAGAGCTGAGACCTGATCAGAGCAAATTACTATGAAGGCCTGTTCTACTGGTTAGTTTGTTGCTCATGATGCATGTGGTTCATTCACATGATGTCAGTGATCAGGATGTGCACATACAGCTTGCTGCAGGACACAGGTTCTTTCACAATAATGACAGATTTGGGTCGCTTACCTACACGAGTTTGAAAGATCAGATCTGAGCAAAAAATCGGAACTGAGCAATGAGGCTTGTAATGTGAATGTAGCTTAATTGCCATGGCAGATGGCATGGCTAACTAAAGTACACTTAGCAAAAATTAGTGTGTGACATAAGCTGTCATGACATCAAACAAATAACCAGTAATGATAACATGACACTGTCATATTATGGAACAAAATCTGTTCAGTTCATGACAGCATATACATCTGCCATGACATGTTCAGGCCAAGTCAAGTCAAGGTTTATTTATATAGCGCTTTTTATAACAGGCGATGTCACAAAGCAGCTTTACAGAAAAATCTGGGTCCAAGCCCCCCATGAGCAAGGAAAAACTCCTTAAGAGTAAGAGAAAGAAACCTTAAGAGGAACCAAGACTCAAAAGGGGAACCCATCCTCCTCTGGTCAACACCGGATAGCAAACAAAATGGCAATATTAACAGAGAATAAGGTTTTACCATTAGTGTAAAATGTTAGAATACATGGTTATGGCATGGCTATGTCAGTGTCATGTAGCAGTGTTCAAGGCTTGCTTTTTGTTGGATGACTATAGAGTTCCTATGTTGAGAAGCTTATATTTGAACCTCAGTTCACTGCATGCTCCAGAAGCAATAACCCTAATACTACTCCTGCACTGACATGGCAGAATTGTGTGGCTGTAGGGAGAAGCTTGTCCCTTCATTACAGAGCCAGAATGCTCTCATCTTCCACCAGGTCCATTATCATAGCCTGGCACTATAGTGAATTTCAGAGCCTGTTTAATTGATCCTGTTTTCTATATTGATTCATAGTTTGCAGGACATGCCTCTGGTGACCAAATTGCTGTAATTTTACACTAATTTACATTACAATCGCAATAATGCAGTGTTTTCTTCAATTATGATATGTTATTGTAGTCTACTATTAATCCTGGGAGCTGATGTTCATTCCTAACAGTTTGATGTAACTGTTAGAGTAAGTTCCCTTGAAAACAAACTACCAATGAAATCTCCACCCTGCTACATAACATTGACATAACCATGCCATACACATGTCATAGCAGATGCCCAGAGAGGAAACTTCAGGCCTTCTAGGCCTTCAGAGAAGGCCTAATGAATTCTGAGAACTAAGAAGTACACGTCTGTAACTTCTAGTTCATTTTTATTCAGTAGAAACCTGCTTGTAACTCTGCAAGTATTGCAGTCCTAATCTTGTTTCATTGTTGAGCTCTAGGTGGATAGAAAGGGGTTAAATTCAGCAAATGGCCAGTGGAAAATTGGCCAATTGGGGCAGATTAACTATCTGTGTAATTAAAAAGTTACAGAGGAATCAACCAATTATGTTTTGCTTTCCAATAAGTTGGACCAATTTTGTGAGAAAAACATCATTCTAAGCCCTCTGGAAGTCTTGGATATATCACTGACAATGAATATAATTGACAGCCTAATCAGTGGATTGTTAGAAATGGAAAATAGCAGTGGCAGTAGCTCTGTACCAGCCTCACTCCTGAAAAAGTCACTGTGAAACTGATACAAGGTAAAAACATATGTTAATAAGCTTCAGGTAAAACATAGAAGCTTAGAAGCGTGAAATGTCTATGTTTAAACTAGAATGGACAAAAAATGACCATGTCAATGGCTGTTACCTTAGCGCTTACAAATTACTAGAATACTATAGGGATTAGAAGAAATTAGCATTGTCATAGAGGTTTTGACATTTGTGGTTTGAACTGAAGGCTCTAATACTTATGGTTCACCACTGCAGATGATTTGTTGCCATGAGTTGTCAGGACAGATTATGTTACAGTGTCATGTTACCATTTTTGAAAATTGTCATGACAGATATTTGATGTCATGATGGCACAACAAAAAACAGCATATGACACAAGCAGTTATGACGTAAAATGTTGGGACATCTGTCATGACAGTTACATGTTTATGGCACGGTTATGTCAGTGTTATATAGCAGGGTTCAGGCAAAGTGTTAGCACTGTTTCTTAACTGTTGTCACTGTCATTGTTTTTAGCCTGTTTTTCAAATGCTGTAGCTTTTCTTGTGAAAACTCTTGTTAAAAACATCAAAGCTAGAAAGTCTGTAATTGCATCACTGTGTAGGTATCCACACTGCGATTACTGCCTCTGTGATAACAGCTGCATTCAGAACCAAAAAATGTCAAACTTGATTTGTCACTTACTGGGGAAAAAGAAAGAAACTGCACAGCAGAGCCATGAGGCTGAAACCTTGGTAATTATAAGAAGAGTATAGGCCTTAAACTTGCTTTTTTTTCTTAAACTTCTTTATATTTTTTTTTCCAATTACCAGTACTGAAGCAAGTGGGCCTATTTTGCTTCTGTTACTACAAACATGATTAGTCAATTTGGTATTGAACTTTCGAGTTACACTTCATGTTCTCAAACCAGCCTGCTGGTTATCATAATAACTTTAGAATGTGATATTGCTTCTTTGAATTTAATTATACTGAGCCTTCAGCACCTGCATTACAGCACTGATGGTAACACGGTGTGATGTTCAAACCCTCCCATATGAGCTTAAGTATTTTGTGGCTGCGGTATTCTCGAAAACATTTTCCCTCTATTTGTTCAGGTAGCCTGAGTTAGATTGAATAACATCTCTTTTAGAGACCCGTCTCATTGGGAGAGAGGATCGACAGGACACTTAACACACCAGTCCCTCTCAAATTGCCTAGACCAGATAAGTGGACATGCCTTGGGCCAAAGAGCAAGAACCACGTAATGACAACATGGAGAAATATGATAAGCCCTTATCTTGGGGCACTTGTCCCTTCCCTACTGGAAAATGTGATTACACCTCTCCACGGGGGGAATCACATAGGTGAGCTGACTGAAAAAGACAGCAAATATGGCTCATGCCAGGGCAGTGCTGTAGCTATGACATGGCTCTAGAGGTCAGATGTACTTTTGGAGTGGTTTGAGAGATTGATAGGTGCTATATCTAAACAATGCACAGAATGTGTGGTCACTGATAGAAACAGTACAGTACAGTAGTTGTTTTCAGATAAACTTCAGGAAACGGACATTTCTTCCATTCTTTTGACTTTGGTTTTTGAGTCCTAACCTGCAGACAGTCCAACGACCAGCATAATATTCTTAAGAGCCACCAGAAGGTCATGGGGAGAAGTAATACTCATAAAAGATGATAGTCTAGACCAGTGAACTTGATGACTTTGATTGTAATTCGAGGGCTTGCTTTATAGTGCGACCAAAGTTTATGATGTTGAAGATACAGTATGTTGCTGAAGTCAAGCAAGCAAGCGGTTGTGCTCGCTGTGCTCAATATATTTTTAGACTTGCTTTCAGGTTGATGTAAAAGGTAAGACATCTTTCTTGTTCAATTCAGTCAGAAGAACTTTACAGAGTAGACACCAAGGTCAGCTCAGGTTCCTTCTCTAACAAGAATGCTTGCTTTTTGTTGCCTGGCTATGCAGCTCCTGTTTGAATATCAGTTCACTGCATGCTTCAGAGGCGCTGACCCTGATAACTGTTCTTTCACTACAGAGTAGAATGTTCTCATCTTACTCAGGGTTCATTATCATTCCCTGTCACTATAGTGAATACTTTTGGATGTTTGTGATTCTGATTCATGATTTCTATATTACTCATAGTAAAATCACTATAATGCATGGCCTCAAATGGCTTACTGCTTTTATTAAACCATGAAGGTGGAATGTGAAAGGCACACATTTTCAATAAATTACTCAAGTTGCTCTAAATGATAATCACAGTAAATTCTTACACTGAGAAATATAGCTAATTTAGCATATGCTGTTGTTGCCAAGCAACTCTAGACTGCTAGAGGCGAACAGGAACAGTCACCCATCACTGTCCGTTGGAGTCATTTCATAAATCTTTTCATTTTTTGGTCATATAATAATGAAAGTACCATAATATAACAGTGTTTATTGCAGAAATCTTAATTTGTTTTCCCACCCCCACCTTAGCACTATACTTAAGGCAGATCTAACTACAAACAAATTTTAAGTAACATATTTGCAGTAAATTATGCAAGTAACATATTTTTACTTTGTATTTTGCAGTTTTCCAGATAGCAAGCATATATTTATCTGCTGGCTGGGTAAGACTAACACCCCACTGACTCTATGCCACTGCCAGTCCACACTCTGTTAAAATAATTTACTAAACTAAATTACAAATGATAGGAAGGAAAAATAAGTAAAATGGACTGTGAGTGGAAAATAAAAACTGAAAGTGGCAGTTTGTGTAATACTTTGCTTAACCAATGGTGGGCAGCCTGAAAAACACTGAGCAAAAGGCCAGTGGGCCACCAGTTTTGCCACCAGTGGGCCAAAAGTGGCCCACTATCCTCTTGCTATGGGTTAAGAGTTCAGTAAATACTTTAATTCAAACTGGACACTAATGGAGGAGCGGTTTTGCCTCTATCTTTTAGTGTGTTGCGCTTGCTACCTTTTGCCGTAGTTGTTAAGAAAATAAGCTGTCGCTCCTTTAGGTTAAAGTTCTTGCTTTGTCTATCCGTAAACTCAGTGGTCCGGTTGAGCAGCACAACAGTTGATTAACAGCACAATAGTTTTTATTGACTTGACGCAGTAATACAGACATCAGTTGGTGTAAGGTGGTCACAGGTGTGCCTATATTGAGTATTTTACTATGACTTCAAGCGTGGCTCAGCTACAGTTAGTTCCAGTGAAAACTATACAAAGATAAAATGTGAACAAGATTTCATGAGATTTCATTCAAGGTTGAATGTATTAGACATAAAAGAAAAGGGAGATAATAACTGTAATGTAGATTGGTATATCCTTGATGATCTTTTTATTATTGGTGGGATCAGTAAATCTATAGATTGATGTTGTGGGCAGTGCTTTAGCTACAGTATCTGTAGAGTGTAGCCACCCACAGTTCAGTATCAGGCCCTGACATAAGTCACTCATTGCTCTGTGATAACTTAAGGAACCGAGTAAACATCATCTGTAATTGTGTCCAAAGAAGTACAGGCAATTTTCTTTTTAATGCTTTAAAATTACAATAAAGTTTCTCTAAAGTCAATTACAGTACAATACTGTATATTTACAGTATTGTAAATATTGAATATTAACTGGCAGTAACTTACTATAAATTTTCACACTAGGCTTTTTAGAAAATACCTGTAAGTTTTGTCTGGTGTCAATTGATTATTTCTTTGTTTGTTCTCTCAAGACTTGAACACTTATCTGAAACCTCTTATGCCCAAAAGAGGTAGAGATTTGTTTATATTAAGTGCAAATGTCACGGAGTGTCATTGAAAACATTACTGTGCTCTGCTCAGTCATCTCCACGGAGCTTTTGAAAAGGTCAAGGCTCTCGATTAGGTTTGATTTTGTTTTCCCTGTTGCCGGAGATCCGTTTTTTCACCAAAGTATGCCTGTTCAACTTCAATTAGAAACGTTTCATGATTCTAAATATTTAGTTAAGAACTTCCTTGAAAGCATCATATTATGAGAGACACAGAACAGATTCAGAGCTGTGAAAGCCATTTTTATTTCAAGAGCTTTTCAGAACCTCATTCTGACTGCAGGAATAAGGTGAGGGGATGTTGAAATGGGAATACGATACAGACGTGCAGATGTAAACCAGGGTGCAAGAAATAAGTGGAAAAATAAGTGTGACTGGCTGAGCTTGAGGAAGTGTGATTTGAGTACGACTTCAACTTATGGAAATGATGGAGTCGGGCCTCTGAGCAAAGAAATGTAAATTGATTGTTGAGGAAACTGCTTTACATAAAGTCTTGTTTTTGTCCCACCCAGCGTCCTCTTTAGAGCTCTTCAACAAACTGAGACAGTCTTTTGCACACATACAAACACTGATGTGTGTGTATATAACCTCTTGCATTTGGGCATCTGTAAATGCCTACACAAGGGTGGCTGTATGCAAAACACTGCATTTGTGCCTGTAAGCTGATTCAAATCACATGTGGGTATCCGGATATGTTTATGCATAGAGCGCTGTACAAAAGTCAGAGAATACTCTTCATTTATTTAATTTCCAGTCAATTTGGCTGCTAAGTACCAGTTTTAATTTACTGGTGTCAGGAAAAAAAGTAGAAAACACATATTTGACACTAAATTACACAGAGACCTCAACAAGTAAGTATATCATTTTTCTGTATTTAGTGTTACACCTTTGCCTTTATTATAGCTTCCATTTTTTTCAGGAGGCTTGCTTTAATTTGTTCAAAGAAATCTGCAGGGATGTTTTTCCATACCTCCAAAGTTCAGTCTAAGAAGTTGGTTGCATTTTCTGCTTCTTACAATCCAAATAATCCCAAACACCTTCAATGGGGATCTGAACTCTGGGGTGGTCAGATCATTGTTCTGGGGTTGGTTGCACTTCCAGCTTCTCATGATCCAAGTAATCCCACAAATTTAGACTCCATAAAACCTGACTCCACATCTGATCAGTTTCTAGTGCAAATGTTCTTTTTTGTCTATTTCCTTTTTCTCAGTAAGGGCTTCTTGTCAGCTATACATCCTTTTAGACCCTTAGCACAGCAGAGTTATCTTCTCACAGTGGAAGGATGGACAGAAACACCTATGGATTTTTTCAGATCTGAAGCGGCTTGATTTTCTCCTCTCTCTCTCAAAGATGAAAGCTTTCAAGCTTTCAGGGCCTTTTTATGTATGTATGTATGTATGTATGTATGTATGTATGTGTAAGGAAACTCCTTTTCTCCTCTTATTTTTTGTTGGTGGATTTTTAAGTGGACTATCTTATATCTAATCTCCTCAGAAATATCAGAAATATAACAAATAACTTGTACTTAATAGATGTTTTGAGTGAAATACAAGAAGAATTTGCACAGTACTGTACTCTATTGAGACTTCACAGTGAAAAAAAGAACTCTAGATAATCAATTTTTCTTTCCAGAAAAAATGAATCTATTTGAATTGTAGTATAGTAAATTATCCTTAAACATTACAATAGTAGTGACATTGACAGAGAACTTACACCTTTGCCTTTCTCGATAATGCATACCTTTATCTCCGTCCTGGTAGCCTAAATATTGCGGGACGCTCATTTGAGTCAAATATGGTCTCGGTGTCTATAAATGGACGTCCCTCTGTGGACCTCATTGTTGGTAAGCAGCAATGTGATGAGAGTGCTGCCCTAGAATTGACTATTTCTGTGTGGAAGTGATGAGCATTTGTTAGAATTTATTAGATATGTGCCCCACTTAGCTGGAGAGAGTGGAGGAGTGTGCATGCCTCAGCTTCAGTGCGGAGAATAAGGTGTGGTAGTGTGGGCAGAAGTGCAAAATGGGGACAAAATGAGGGAACGAGCATGTGTTCCATGAGAGACGGGATGGCGAGAGAGAAGCAGGGAGATGGAGAGAGATAAATAGCGACAGGATATTACTGAGCTTCCCCTTATTATTCGCCCTCATCATCGTTGACGCCCTCTCCTTTTCAGAACCCCTATCATAAAAACATTTCTTTGGAGTGAGGGTGAATTTGTTTGGGCAGCTGTGACAAGCGATCAGGCTCAGCTTTGAGAAGCACAGTTTATACATCATCACTCTCGAAGCACATGTTCACAGAATGAGAAAAACAACCCAAAAATGCTTCTGATAGATTCTTTTCATATACCAGTATTTCATGTAGTTATATGACATATGAATGCAAGAAAACTAGCAATTCATCCTCTTTTGTGAATTGTGGTGCCCGTTTAATTATTACTTTCATTTTGCTATACTATTACAATGTAATTACACATTTAATATCAGTGAGTTATTACGTTTTACTTTCGTAATCAAAAGGTTGGAGCTGAAACTTATGACATTTTACCGTTTTCTGCAGTGATATAAATACAACAACAATACAGAGGATGTTTTTTAGTCTTTTTGCAAAACAGGTGTTCACAATAAACAATAACTTTTCTTCTAATTTAAATCCTAATAAAATATTTCCTCTTTTGCTGACAAACACAAAAGTCATAATAATTGAAAGATTCAAATCCATACTTTCTACAAAATTGAATAGTGAGAAATAATATCAAATTAAATCATTTTGATGTATGATTTTGTTACTAGCAACAATAAATATACATCTCTAATAATAAAATTATAATAATGCTTCACAAACATGTAACACAAGTTCACATCATATAATGCCTTAATATGGATAATGATCTATGCACATTTATAAAGCACCTATAATTAAAACAATAAAATCATTGTACATTTTTAAAATGACATCACTGAGTGATTCAAGTAAAGGGATTGATATGTTTTTATATAAAAAAATAATTATAAGGTATTATAAACTTTCATAATGTAAGGTGGGAACGTGTAATTCCAAACAAATTACAAAAGCACAGACTCATTATTGCAATTTTTAAAGTTTTGCAAAGTTAAAACTCTATAGAGACCACATCTGTTTGTCCTACAATGTCCAAATATGACCAGAATACATAAACACTTATTTAACCTTGCCAGGCAGGAAGCTCACGCAGATGATCATGCAATAACAAAAGATTTAAAACATACTATAGAGCACATACTGACAAACACATACACAATTCATGTTGCAATAAACATTTAAATCTGAATAACCTAAATATCACTTTACTTACAGCACTCAGTGATGGCATTTTAAATGTTTGTCATGTTTTATAATTGTTAATAGGTATTTTAGTTGCGTTATATTTATGTACAGGTCATAATCTATGTAAAAGCATTGTGATGGATAGTGACATTTGTGTTACATGTTTATAAATCATTAAAGATTAATTTATTATTATTTTATTGATTTATTATTACTACAGCCTCATAATGCATTACTACACACTTTAAAAAGATGGTTCTTCAAGGATTCTATAGTAAAGAAAATGGTTCTAAATAGAAAGAACTCTTTCTAGGATTAAAAGTTCTTTGTATTGTAAAAGCGTTCTTCAAATTGATGGAGAATGCTTTGTAGATGGTTCTATACAGAATGTTTTTAAAGAGGATTCTAAAAGAACCAAAAAGGGTTCTTCTATTGTTATGATGTCAGGCTTGTTAGAAGAACCCTTTTTGGTGGTGTATATAATCCTTTTCAAAAAGGTTCTATATACAACCACATATACGGCACACTCTCCATCAATCTGAAGAATGCTTTCATGATGCAAAGAGCCCTGTAATCCTAAAAAGAGTTGTTTTAATTTTCTTAACTAAAAAAACATTGAAGAACCAAAATTTGTAAGTGTACGGGGTTTACAAGTATACCTACAAAGCATTGTTACCAAGTTACAAAGGGTTGTAAATGCATGTAGAATTATTTATGAACACAGGCTTCATAGAATGTGCTACCTGTGCTTCTATCCATCTGTCTATCTATTCATCTATTTCTTTATGTATTTACTTATTTATTTATTATTGGCTCTCAGTGGGCTTGTTTCCTCTGCAAATGAATTTATGAATGGGCTGTGGAATGGTGGACTTTTGCTTGGATCAGAACATGGTATAAACAGTTCATATTCACGCTGTTGTTCTACACTGTGAAGGTTGAAATAGGAGGCTTGTAGTATGTAAAAATAGTCAAAGACATTGGCAAAAGCCTGCATGATCACCACTACATGTCCAGAAGGCTGACTTAGTGTTCATTCCTTTAAGTGCAAATGCATCGATGTCAGCCGTGTGCAATACGTTTGGGAAAAGTGGAAGTGGAAAGTTCTCAGCCAATCAGAATTCAAACAGCATCACTGAAATAGCTCCAACAGTAGAACACACCAAGGGGGGTCCAACAGCAGAACAAAACATGAAACTACACTAGAGTGAGTTGTTTATGGAACAGATATAAGAGGTATAAGAGGCCTGTGATGTTGCCATGTTTTTGAATCCATCTTAACACTTCTTTACACAAGCCTAAGTGTGGATCCCAGAGGGGGTTAAAAAAGATGCAATCTTTACCAGTAAAGGTGGTGGCTCCATGAAGAAAAAAATAGCAAAAACGGAAATCAATCCTACAAACTGTTGGAGAGAACATAAAGCCGGCTGGCCTGCAGGGACAATAGGCTATAAAAGTCAAAGTCAAATAGGCCTCTTAACTTCAATTCCACATGAACATGACAATCCATCTGATCTAAAGCCATTCCATATTATACTGCATCCGACCTAGAGCTGTGCATTAGCAGCGCACATTTTGTTTGTGACTGCTGGAGGATTTAACAAATTATCAGATTGCTCTGGGTTTAGATGTTGTGCTGAGTTTAGATGTTCTTATAGCAATTACATAATTTACACAAACATCCTGTCTCCATTCCTTCAGCTGCTTTATTTCCATAGATCTCTCATTTAGTTGCTCCAACCTCTGGTGATCAAAATGTACATTGCAAGGTCAATATGTTGCAGAAATCCCAATATGTTGTAGCACACCAAAGAAGATTTGATAAAGATCAGTGTGTTCTAAGAAATTATGTATAGTCTCCTTCAATCTAGGTAGTGCAGTGCTTCTCTAGTACTGAAGCAACCAAGGCCTTGGAATGAGGAATAAGGCCAGACCTCTAAAAGCAGCAGTTGCTGGAGAAACAAGTGTCCACCTTCTGTCTCCTCACAGTGTCATTCTGTTCTTCTTTATATACCATAAAGTGTAGTCAGTTTGACAGAAGTGTCATTGTAGCAGTGCAGAGCATCATGGCCCAAGCTGTATTGCCTGTGGACATCTTGGTGTTTCAAACGGTAAAGTCGTTTAAGTTCTACCAAGATCAGCTTGGGCTCTTGGCCCAGTCTGTTGCTAACTTGGCTATGTCTCTAAAGTCTGAAATGAATTACACAAGTCCTACCCAATTTATGACCATGAATCACAGGCAGGCTGAATCTGTACTGGTTGGCCCTAGAATGTAGATTTTGGGCAGTTGTAGTCATCAAATTGAGACATTGTTAGGGGACACAGAGCCTAATCTCTTGCTTCCTTATCTATTTTCAGGCCAACTGATGTATATCAATAATCTAATTGTCCTTTAGTTTTAACATATCTTATCATGCTGGTATCTGCTGTTCCACTTTGTGGCTGGAAATAAATTTGCCAGTGTTTACTTTGTTTCACTAGAATTATGACCCCAGTTTTGTCTAGGGTGCTGTAGCATCTATAACATGGCATTAATATGATGAACTGGTGAAGGAGGCATGAAAGAAATGAGGAACAAAACAAACTGAGCTTTTGAAGCCATTTTATTAAAATAAACCACAATAAAAACACTGTGCTTTATCTAGTGCCACTCTGTGAGAATCAAACTGTGGAGGGCACCAAAGAAAAGAGCAAAACTAATCAACCACATTTGCCTACTCTGTCTTACTTAACTAAGTACTTAACTAAGGAAACAAAACTAAACTGAAGGCTAACTACACTACACTTCCCTGGCTAGTAGTCAAGAGTACATGGGGAACTAGACTTCTAGATGGTGCAAATGTACAGGTTCCTACAGAGCCCTGCTGGTGACATCCCGTATAAATAAAAATAATGTGTGGCCACGTGTAAGTGTGGGAAAGAGATATTTAAACCTTGACTATAGCTTAATAAGGCATGATCTTGTAGATTTAATTATCTTGGTCACAAGCCTTACTAAGACATGACCACGCATTAGGATCTCGTTCCCACGCCTTACTAAGGCATGGCCACACGTTTTTTTTTATTTATATGGGATGTCACCAGCAGGGCTCTGTAGACACCCTTTTCTTACATGTTTGAAACACCAGGTAGCTCAAACAAGGTGCGAAACAGAAGGGGTCCAGAGGGGTTCGAGAGCCCCTGAATGTCTCAAAATCTAAGTTCTGTGAGGTTCTTAAAAATAAACTTATTGTGAAGTTAAGACAAACTAAAACATAGCACGTGTGGTAGCAGTCCTCTCTTTTCAGCCATCTTGAATGCTAATGTGAAGAGTGAGATGGGAGACAGAGGAACACGAAAATTAGCAAAATACATGCTCACATGTAACATAAGTCATTTTAATGTGTTGTTATATGGATTTAGGTTGGCAAGCACATTTGCTTCAAACCACATTTGAATTTTGCTGTTGCCATCTCCTAGTAATGAGAGAGCACCGGATTCCATGTGAGTTGATAGGTTTGGTTTAGTTCAACAAGTTAGATTAGTTTTATTGTATGTAATAGCTAGTTATTTATTTAGCAAAAAAAATAAAAAATAAAAAATCAGTCTGAAAGAGTCATATACTCAGTTTCTTGATAATCTATTAGAGTTACAAAGATGTATACTGCCCCCAAGGCTTTAGTGAACTCTTTCTGTTGGTTATTGAGAAAGATAATGACAATGATTTTCAAAATCATGTTTATTATCAGTGAAGTGTCTACTGTTATCAGTATTTATTGCCAGTACAAAGGATCCCTGATAAGGGTCAGTAGGGGTTACGTGTTTGTGCTTGTGCCACGAGCTCACACACACAATCCAAGGTCTTGAGAATTAGAAAATTGTAGAGAACATGGATAACTGCCCATTGGGCCTCTACGTTGTCAATACTGAGCAAACATCTGTTGTTTATGGTCTATTATTTCCTTTTCTAAGATCTGTCACATTCTTTGAAGTTTTTCTGTTGTTAGTTCATCAATACGTCTCTGTCTATGCAGCTTCTCCTAAAAGTTTGAAACTATAAGGTTATATAAAGCCTTATATCTAAAAAAAAAGCTACAAAATTAGATTATGAGGACTTGGATACAGGGTTGTCCTGTTTCTACTGCTTATTTTTTCTTCTCTTTTCAATTTGACATGGTGCAGCTGTTTGTGATACAGAAGTGATTCGGCTAGTTTAAATTTACACTCAACTTTGCTGAGATAAAGTTTATTAGCAGATGTTGTGTTTTTGAACAGTGTTTCTTTTTCATTCCAGGCTGACAACTTGTTGAGACATCAAGGCGTGAACTTGAAAGCGTCTTTGGTATTAAAAGGGTGAGAGGGACCTTATGGCAGAAAACCACACAATCTAGGTAAGAAGGATTTAGTGTTGACACTTTTTCAGTGCACTGCTAAAAAAGTCGTTCTGACTCCATTGATTCCAAAAGCTTTAGGGTCACTTGAAGTTTCTCTATAATGCAGAAAATGAAAATGTTTCACCGGGATGACGATTATGATAATTACAGTAATAACTAATTATGATAATTCCTGTTTTTTTGAGAAATCTGCCCTTTGCTTTATATTTTGCTTTGCTTGTTTTCTACGGCCTAAAGAAATATTGCTCTGTAAAGAGCTAATAACCATTTATTGTGCAAGTAAGAAGACAATCTACTTTATTAATGATAAACACATTTCTGCAATGTGGAATAACATTCCGCCTTTTTTGTAGATGCTGGGCATTGCAGTTCTATTTAGTTACAGTATATGGTGGAGGGAAAGGTGAATGAGTTAATGTTTGGTGTTATTTTTCCTGTATTAATAAATGCTGACATTTATTAGATGCATGTCATAGTTGATAGAAGATATTAAAGCAGTGCCACATCAACCATGTACACAGGTGCAGGTACCTTGGTGAGTCCATACCAGGTTCATTGGTGATACTTCAGGTGCAGAAGTGCAGAATCTCTTGGCCTTTTGGTCTATGTATATTCTAGTGTTCAATAGGGTGGAATCACACACACACACACATATCTTCAAAGCCACTTATCCTTCTGGGTCACGGGGGGAGCTGGAGCCCATCCCAGCAGTCACCAGGCAGAAGGCAGGACACAGGGTGGAATCACTTGCTCGATTATTTTTTTGTTATTTTATATACAATAAAAAACTTATGCAATGTGGATTTAAATATTCTTGTTCACCAAAAAATATTTTTAGAAGGTTTTTTTTTTAATTTCAAGAATTCTATGCCTAAGAATGTTTGCTAGTGTACTGGAATTATATATTTTATATTTTCAGTTATCTGGCATGAGATTTGACCTCCTCTTTGTATGATTGAAATATGATGATTCTTGGATATTTATTGTACTACATCTTCTCAATGTAATACAATTTTATCCTTAGTCATTTTAGAGTCCTCCACAGCTGTGTTTATTATTCTGGACACATCTAGCTTTTCTTCATTTTGTTCACAGTACATTGTCCTACTAATGGGCAGCATGGTGGCTCTGTCACCTCACAGCAAGAAGGGCCTGGGTTCGGTTCCCTTGCTGGGCGACCTGTGTAGAGTTTGCATGTTCTCCTCAAGTCTGTGTGGGTTTCCTCCGGGACCAAAGACATGCAGTCTGTCCAACTGGACGTGCTAAATTGCCCCTAGGTGTGAATGTATGTGTGATTGTATATGTCTGTGTGTCCACCCTGTGATGGACTGGCAACCTGTCCAACGTGTTTCCTGCCTTCTGCCCAACGAACACAGGGACAGGCTCCAGCACCCCCCACCACCCAGGAGGTTAAGTGACTTCGATATTGTGTCTGTGTGTTCTACTAATTACTTTAGCATGTGAAGTTGTGCACGGCTAACATATTATAATCATTTTATACATTTATCTGCAACAAAATTGGTTTTAGATTGTTGAAAAACATTGATTCTAAGTAATGATTCCAAACTTTTAAATAGTAGTGTATATTTTATTGCCTTGCGAACCGGTTATACCAAAAGTAAATAGAGGCACTTTCTGTGGATTTTGAGCATCACGTCCTGCTGCTCACAAGAAATGTGCTCTCATGATTCACTTCATTTTTCCATTGCTGTTGTAACTAACAATAGCAATTACATCACAATTTCTATATCAATGGGATAATGGCTTAATTTGTCCACTTCTCACATGCCTGTTAAGTCATTTGTGACTGTCCCTGCCTCGTTCCTTGATAATCAACATGAATGTGGTAACATTCTTTATCGACACGATTTTCCCCGGCAGCTCTGCAGCGGGACCTGGAAGCATACCGAGATGTTTGTGATAGGAAACCTAATTTATTTTTCATATACTCTCAGAGATTGAATTCCGCATACAGTATCATGCCACATAGCTATTTTGCACAGGCCCCCCGATTCACAAAAAAGATGAAAGAATAGTGATCAAAGATATGCAGGCAAAGTCGTCAGGCGCTGTGGCAGCTGAGATTGCTGCCAGCGAGAACAATATAGACAGAGTTGAGTGAGTCATTCTGTCTGCTGTCACTGCCTATTTTTACTGGAGCTTATACGGAATGACATCAGAGAACACAATTATAACAATGAATTACAAGCACTTAGCCATCTTTCACTGTCTTTGTCACTAACTCAATTACTGCATGTGCAAACCGAGACCGAGGCCCTGCCATTCACTTCCACAAATACTGCTCTGTGCATTGTAGAAACGATGTGCACAGAACTACTTATCTGTTGGATTAACGTAATGATCTTCAAAATCATCTTTGTTTGGATTTAGTAGCTTAATCTATTTAAAAATTCATTGTATTGTTTGAGTGCAAGTAGATGTAACGAATACTGAGACTAAGTCCCAAGGAGCCTAAATTTCTTTCCAGTTAGGGTAATAATGGTCTTGTGGGTGCCCAATATGCATGGATCAATATGAATTGTGTGTAGTTGCATGGGGTATGATTATGCATTGTGTGTGGTTCTTCATTTAGTATTGTTATGCATTGGGTATAGTTCTCCAACAGGTATACTTGTCCATTGGGTATAGTTCTGCACTGGATATAGTTATGCATTGTGTATAGTTATGTTTTGGGTATAGTAATACACTGTATACAGTTCTGCATCGTGTATAGTTATGGATTACATATAGTTATGTATTGGACATAGTAATGCATTGTGTACAGTTCTGTATTGTGTACAGTTCTGCATTGTGTATAGCTATGGATTATGTATAGTTATGTACTGAATATAGTAATGCATTGTGTACAATTTTGTATTGTTTACAGTTCCGCATTGGATATAGTTATGCATTGTGTACAGTTCTGATTGTGTACAGTTATGCATTGTGTATAGTTATGTACTGGATATAGTTATGCATTGTGTACAGTTCTGCATTGCGTACAGTTCTGCCTTAGATATAGTAATACATTGTGTACAATTCTGTGTTGTGTATAGTTATGCACCGGATATAGTTCTACATTGTGTACAGTTCTGCATTAGATATAGTAATGCATTGTGTGCAGTTATGCATTGTGTGTAGTTATGCGTTAGATATAGCTATGCATTGTGTGCAGTTCTGTATTGTATATAGTTCTGTACTCTGTGTTGTTATGCATTGTGTTTAGTTTTACATTGTGTAGAGTTCTACAGTGTATATAGTTCTGCATTGGTTGTAGTTATGCTTGAGTGACAAAGCTGGCTGGGTGTCTTGGAGTCATGTTAATCACACTCATTAGAGTATTAGTATTCTAACACACACCCAGACTGTGTTCATATAGACCTGGTGATTCAGGGATTTGAGCAGTGTTTTTATCGTGTTTCTGTCTGTTTGTTTGTTTGTTTGTCTGTTTTTCAAATTTTTGCTCATATTCAAAGAGTAACACTCAAGTTTGCTGTCGTGTAAATGTTTTTCCCCTTGGACAGTATCCTCGAACCTACTCGGCCACAGGGTAGCCACAGATACATTATGAACATATGTCAGCATCACCCATAGTTACTGTTCAGTTGGCAAACATTGAATTGTCAGAGCAAATTCTGTCCATCTTTAGGCTGTCAGTCAGAGGCACGATTGGGGATTTGTGAAACCACTTCTCGATGGCTTTACATCTGTGGAATATTCCCACTGATTCCCATTTTTTCAAAAACATTGCCCTGCTGCAGGCAAGTAGCAAACAGTTTGATCCTGTTGTTTACAAACAATGCAAATAAACAAACCATTTAGAGCCTTGGATGTGGTTCTTTATGCCATTGACTTGTTTTTTCTCCATTTAGAGCTTTTCTACAATTTCACGCCTAATCCTTTCTTTCAGTGTTTTAGAACATGAATGGCAAGGCAAAGCTCGTTTATTGTGCCACAGCCCCTGACTGAGGCTTTTAAGGGGCAGTAAATATGATGTTTAATTGGATAAATGTTTATGTATCAAGTTTACATTGTCTCATAAAAGATACAGACTTATGACACATCTCTGCTTCTTTTAAGTTTTAATATGAACAAACTGAAAGTTCAAAATCTAAGCTTGAAGGTTTTAAAATGATAGGAAGTTGCTGTAATCCCTATATTTAATTAAAATCCTATAACTATAGGAATGTCAGAAATCTAAATTGTATAGAAAGTTTTAAACTGTTAAAGATTTTTATTGCAACTTTAAAAACAGCTTCACAAATCCTAAGTTTGTCTTTTATCGATGGTCTAATGATAAACAGAATTCAGAAAGATTGACCTCCATCAGTTGAACAGCAGCCGGTGTTAGCAATGTTCTTAATGTTCACTGTGGCTACACTGAGGCTTGTAAAGATATGCCAGTTTGGTTACATACATTCACACTCAAGCAATGCAATGCATTTCAGTTATTTCCTCCATTTTATGCATATGAAAATTCATAACATAGCTCAATACTCAGCATGTCTGTTTCCCAGTTTCATTCCTGCACTGCAGCTTCACGTCCTGCTCTGACACACCTGATTAACTCATGAATTGCTTAATTATGAGCTAATTATATGACTCAGGTGACTCAGAGTAACACCAAACATGCAGTGGGTCCTTAGGACAGGAGCTGAAAAACACTGCTTTAAGAAAACTGCTTTTGTCTGATTAGCAAATTAAGAAAGCTTGTCCAATATATTTTCATCTCATTCACTCTTACTACAATGAGCCCCCGCACTGGCCTTTGAAGTGACTTCAGACACAAGGCCATTTCTGCTTCATTCATTTCTCTGTAGCATCACAGAGTCAATATCAGCTCTTCCACTGCGTTGTAAAGGTCAACCAATTAACAGTGTAAAGCAAACTATGGACTTTAATTTGAGTCTCTCCTTTCAGTAATAGCAACCCAGCAGTTGAGCTGCCAACAAGCACTTTAAAGAAGACTTTGTGTCATTTTGTACAGATGTACGAGA